ATGGAGTTTCAGTGTTCAAAAAACAGGAAAAGACTATGAGAAGAGCCTGTTGCTGAAGGTGCCTGGCGCGGTGGGCGCACGCCCGTCATCCCAGCAGCTCCGGAGGCTGAGGCAGGAGGATCGCAAGGTGGAGGCCAGCCTCAACCACTTAGCGTGGCCCTGAGCAGCTAAGGGAGACCCTGTCTCTAAATAAAATAGAAAAAAGGCCTGGGGCTGGGGCTCAGGGGTGAGTGCCCCTGAGTTCAACCCCAATACCTAAAAAAAAATAAAATAAAAAATAAAAAAAATTATCCAGATGTGGCTGGTGCTGGGAGGGTGCTTCATACTTTGATGAGCTTGACCAAGATTGTCCTGGGCTATGTCTGACCCATCTCTGGGCCTCTATTGCCAGCCACACAYGGTGCAGACATTTTTCACTGGGCTACAAAGAGCACACCCAGGCACCCGACAGGCAGACAGGCAGGCGGGTTCCCATTCCCGCCCTTCCCTTGAATGTGGGAGCTGGGTCCCTCTTGTGAGTTCCTTATTTGTGACATGGTGATGATCATGTTCTGYAGGGGGTTAAAGTCAGGTTACATCGAGCCGATCCAAGCGGATAGTATAGGTGCACCGTAAAGATGACGGCTCTTCTCGCTGCTGCAAATCTCTCAAATCATCTGTGCGCTCTAGAGATTTCTCCTTGGTAAAGTCCTTTCCTGCAGCCAGCTTTGTAATTCCTCCGTACAGCAAGCTTTGATGATGCTTGCAAACCTCAGGACACTCGATTGGCTGATGGGTTCCTTTCCGATAGGGACACTACTGCTCAGGGCCGGGGGACCCTCGCAATTTTCGCTGGGGCATTCTTTATGGTGGAGGAACGTGGGGGATGGAGGAGGCCTGAGGAATCGGTCTGCGGGTCCAACATGGCGCCGCCCTGCTCCTGGTACGGCTCCCCAAGATGGCGGCGCCCAGGCAGGGGGCAGACATGTTTGTACCACGTGACCCCGGCCCAGCCCCTACGCGGCCGGAACGTGACGCCAGGTGGAGGCGGGGCTCTTCCCACGCACCCCCGGCGTCAAGCGTCTCGTGACAGGTACTTCCTCTCGGGGCGGCGGCGGTGGCGGAAGTGGGAGCGGGGCCGGAGTCTTGGCCATAAAGCCAGAGGCGGCGGCAGCGGCGGCGTTGGCGGCTGAGCGACAGCGCAGAGGAGTCCCCAGGAGCCGGGCTTTGGACTTCTCCGCCCCCTTGTCCTCCGTCGCGTCTCCTCCTCGGCGGGAGCCCTCCTCGGCGACGCGCCCCGGCCCCCGGAGCCCCCAGCGCAGCGGCCGCGGTAAGCAGCGGCCCGGCCTGGCCCGAGGCCCGGCCCCCTCCCCCGCCGCGGCCTCCGGTCGCCCGCGCCTCGCGGCCTCCGCCCCGGACGGGCCCCGCGGGGGATCCTCGGCGTCGCCTGGGCCCCGGCGTCAGACCCGGGCCGCACCCGGCCGCGGACGGGTCAGAGGTCGCCGGGCGTGACCTGGGCCCCGGGGGTGCGGGTCGCCGGCTGCGGGTCGACGGGTGGCRTCGCCCTGGGGGGCCCCGCCGAGGGCCTTCCCGACGGGCGGCGGCGCTGCGCCGCGGCGGCGGGGGCCTGGGAGAGGCGACGGCGACCCCGGGAGGCGGGAGCTGCCTGGGACTCCGCCCGCCGCCGGCCCGGGCCGCCCTGGGGGACGGGCGCCGTGTCCCCCCTCCGCCGTCTAGAGTCCCCGTCGGTGGTGGAGGCTCCCCGGGGGGCCCCCCGAGTCCCAGCCGTGAGTCAGGTCACGTGGGCGCGGGGCTGGCCGCGGACCCTGGTGTCCATGTGAGACGGCTCGGGCTCCGGGAGACAGGGAGCTTTTTGTCACCAGCAGCACACGGTCGCCGTAAATCCTGCAGGAAGTTTTGCAAAGTTCCTGGGGGACGGGCGGAGGGAGTTGGTGCCCGACCGTTTTGGGGACCTCAGGCGGGCCACCTAGCGATCCGTGGAGTGGCAGCGCCGAGACCGATGGTTGCAGCAGAGATTTGGGCGTTCGTGGTGCTGCGCTTGGCAGCCAAGTCTGCTGCTGATGTGCTCACTGATTGATAGACACGGAACAGAGAGGTTAAGTCACTTGCTCAAGGTCACACAGCGCCCAAGTCCTAGAGCAGAGATTCAAGCCCAGGTARCAGACTGGGCCCGGCCTGCGGGTTGCGATTTACTTTTTGCCACCTGGTACCTGGCCTCCGCCACCTTCCTTGCCCTTCCYTAGTGATGTCATATGAGAGCCTCTTTGCTGGCCATACCTGGAAAGCCCTATCTGGTTTGCCGTTGCGACTTGTGATGCCTATTTGTGGGGTGTGCGAYCCCCAAACTTGAAGCTCTTGAATTCTGGCAAGGGACTTCATGGGTTAGAGACGTTCCCTACCTTAGTCTTCAGCTGGGTCTGCAAATATGGAAACCTTGTTGTCACCCGGAATTCCTGGCTGTCCGACTAGTTGGTTCTTCCCCATTGGAAATACTGCCTCTGTGGCTTCTGAAAGAACAGACCCTTGTCTCCTCCTTGTGACTTCGACAGCTGATTAGCCGCATGACTTCTCATCTCTGGTTTAATAAAGTCTCCTGGGAGTGTGTTTCTCTCTTCAAACTTGGGGAGGATTTGTTCAGATTTGAGTCTAAGAACTGGAAAGTAGTTAAGGTTGTTTTTGTTTGGAGCGGGTGGGGGGGACTTGGGATTGAACCCAAGGGTGCTTCACCACTGAGCCACATCTCCAACCCCATTTTGCATTTTATTTAGAGACAGGGTCTCACTGAATTGCTGAGKGCCTCGCTAAGKGGCTGAGGCTGGCCTCCACCTTGCGATCCTCCTGCCTCAGCCTCCTGAGCYGCTGGGATGACAGGTGTGCGCCACCACACCCAGCCTGGAAAGTAGTTATAAATACTTCTGTTGAAGATACTGTCCACTCTAAAGCTTGGTGTCCATGACCCTGTTGTGTTCTGTCCGGTTTTTATTGTTTTATTTACTTTGCTACCCAGACTGACCACATTGAAGTGACTAATGCATGCTGCAGGCTTGTATCATGTTTGAGTACCGAGGAGAGTAACGATGAGCACTTTTTCATTCATTCATGAAATGTTTGGAGTATCTGCCACGTATGTATTGGGCGTTGCTGGAGATTGACTCGGGGACCAGAGGTGGTGCCTGTCCTCAAGGAATTGTAAAATGGTGAGCGATCRCAGCCATGAACTCCGGTAGAATGAGTTGGCAGGACAACTTGAGGCCATGATCTGGGGTACTAGGGATTGAACTCAAGGGCACTCCACCCCTGAGCCATCTCCCTAGCCCTTTTTCTATTT